CTTCCCCATTGCCAGAATGTAAATGTGACTGACTTATTTATTTAATTTACTTACTTAAGATAGAGAGAGTGTGCTCATGGGTGAGCAATGGGAAGAGGAGAGGGAGAGGGAAAGAGAATCCTTTTTTTGTTGTTGTTTTTTTATTTTATTTATTTGACAGAGAGAGAGATCACAAGTAGGCAGAGAGGCAGGTGGGGGGCTTGGGGAAGCAGGCTTCCTGCTGAGTAGAGAGCCCAATGTGGGGCTTGATCCAATGACCCTGCGATCATGACCTGAGCCGAAGGCAGAGGCTTAACCCACTGAGCCATCCAGGTGCCCCGGGAAAGAGAATCCTTAAGTAGACTCCGCACTGAGCATGGAACTGACATGATGCTTTAATCCATGGCCTGAGTTCATGCTGGGAGCCAAAATCAAGAGTCGGACACAAACTGACTAAGCCACCCAAGTGCCCCTTTTATTTATTTTTAAAGTAATCTCTATGTCCAACAAAGGGCTTTAACTCATGACCCAAAGATCAAGAGTTGCATCCTCTGGCTGCCTGGCTGGCTTTGTTGGTGTAGTGCATGATTCTTGATCTCAAGATTGTGGGTTTGAGCCCCATGTTGTTGTAGAATTCACTTAAAAATAAAATCTTAAAAAAAAATAAAACTAGAGAGAGAGAGAAAGTTGCTTGACCCACTGACTGAACCAGCCAGGTGCCCTGTGACCATATTTTTATTTATTTGTTTATTTATTTATTTATTTATTTATTTATGTTAGTCATCATACAGTACATCATTAGCTTTAGATTTTAAATATATTCTCTTTTTTAAAATATAAATTCTGACTTTGTGCCCTTTATTTTGAGATTAAAAAAAGAATTCATAACTAAAATTGTTATTCCATTTTCCTTTGTCTTTGAGTCTAAATACATATATTCTTTTAATTTCATGTTATTTCAAACATTCACTCTTTTATTTCTATCCTCTCCAAATTTCTTTAAGATTTCCTTTCAACATTAGAGATGGGATTATTGAGTCTGTGCTGTACATAGGGAGTAGGGAAGGGAATAATGAAACAAGGTAGGATCAGGAGGGAGAAAAACTGTAAGAGACTCTTAATCTCACAAAACAAACTGAGGCTTGCTGTGGGGAGAGGGGTTGTGGAGAGGGGAGTTGGGTTATAGATATTGGGGAGGGTATGTGATATGATGAGTATTGTGAATTGTGTAAGCCTGACAATTCACAGACCTGTACCCCTGGGGCAAATAATACATTATAGGCTAATAAAAATAATTAATAAAAAAGAAGGTATCTGTAGGAAGTAATGCACACATACATATATGTGCATATGCTCTTACCTATCAAACACTTCTTAGACTCACCAACTATTTCCAAACACTGTATTTATTCCTGACAACATCTACCTGCATTAGAGATAAGGAAACAGAAGTTTCAGATTTATTACATTTCTTTTTACAATTATATAACAAATCTTTAAAGCTTTTGTGAAATTTTTGAATTATATATAAATGTACTCTTAATTTTTATTAACATATCATGTATTATTTGTTTCAGGGGCACATGTCTGTGAATCATCAATCTTACACAACTCATAGCACTCACCATAGTACATACCCTCCCCAATGTCCATCACTCAGCCACCCTATCCCTCCCCACCCTACCACTCCAGCAACATTCAGTTTTTTTCCTGAGATTAAGAGTCTCTTATTGTTTGTCTCCCTCCCCAGTCCCATCTTGTTTCATTTTTCCCTCCCTTCCTCCCATAACCCCCCTCTGCCTCTCAATTTCCTCATATCAGAGAAATCATATGGTAACTGTCTTTCCTGATTGACTTATTGGCTTAGCATAATACCCTGTACTTCCATCCGTGTCACTGCAAATAGCAAGATTTCATTTTTTTTATTACTGCTAAGTATTCCATTGTATATATATACCACGTCTTCTTTATCCATTCATCTGTTAAAGGACATCTAGTTTTTTTCCATAGTTTGGCTATTGTGAACATTGCTGCTATAAACATTCAGGTGCATATACCCCTTCAGATCCTACATTTGTATTTTTAGGGTGAATACCCAGCAGTGCGGTTGCTGGGTCATAGGGTAGCTCTATTTTCAACTTTTTGAGGAACCTCCATGCTTTTTTCCAGAATGGCTGCACCAGCTTGCATTCACACCAACAATGTAGGAGGGTTCCCCTTTCTCTACATCCTTGTCAACACCTGTCATTTCCTGACTGGTTAATTTTAGCTGTTCTGACTTGTTTAAGGTGGTATCACACTGTTGTTTTAATCTCTATTTCCCAGATGTCATGTACTCTTACTTTTTGTATGATTACTTTAATTCAGAATAGTTTGCATTTTATATGTGTTCAGTTTCTTGTATGTCTTTGTAATTCAATGAATTGTTTAAAAGAAAAATCTGTTATAACTAATCAGTGAATTCAGCAAGATATAAAGTCAATATACAAAAATTGAAACTCTATACACTAAATTGCAACTCTATACACTAAAATGAAATTATCACAAAGGAAATTTTTTAAAAATCTCATTTACAATTATGTCAACAAAAATAAAATATATGAGTACATTTGAACAAGGACGTGAAACATCTGTACAGTGGAAACTATAACACATTGCTGAAAGAAACTGAAGACACTAAGAAATGGAAAGATATTCCATGCTCGTTATTTGGAAGAATTAATACTGTTACAACATCCCTACTGCTCAAAGCAATCTGTGGGTTCAGTGTAATCCCTGTCAAAATTCCAGTGGCATATTTTACAGAAATAGAACAAACACTCCTTCAATTTTTATGGAATCACAAAGACCCCAAATAACGAAAGCAACCATGAGAAAGAAGAACAAACCTGGAGCCATCATCCTCCCTGATTTCAAACTATATTAAAAAGCTCTGGTAACCCAAGCAGCACGAAATGCCCACAGGTCAATGAAATGGAATAAATAGCCCAGAAATAAAACCACAGATAAGTGGTTAACAGGTTTATGACAAAGGAGTCAAGAATCTATAAGAAGGAAGGAACAGTCTTTCAATAAATGGTGTTGGGTAAACTAGACAGCCACGTGTAAAATAAATAAATAAATAAATAAATAATGCAACTGGACCACTATTTTATACCAAAGGCAAAAATTAACTCAAAATGGATTAAATAATTCAATGTAGATTTGAAGCCATAAAAATCCTTAAAGGAAACATATAGGTCTTGGCAATGATTTTTAGGATTTGACACCAAAATCAAGGGAAAAAGCAAAACTAAAAATATCTACCTCAAAGTAAGTACTTCTGCACAACAGATGAAACCATCAATAAAATTAAAAGGCAACCTCTTAGATAGCAGAGAACATTTGCAAATCATGTATCTAAGGGATAAATATTCCAAATGTATGAAGAAGTCATACAACTTAATAGCAACAAACAAACAATCTGATTAAACAATGGGCAGAGCATCTGAAGAGACATTTTTCAATGAAGACATACAGATGGCCAACAGGGGAGGAGGTCAAGATGGTGGAGGAGTAGGGGATCCTACTTCAACCAGTCCCCTGAATTGAGCTGGATATCTACCAGACCATTCTGAACACCCATGAAATCAGCCTGAGACATAAGAAGATATATCAGGATCTATACCAACAGAATATCTCCGACTGCTGGTTTCAAGGTATGAGGCTCCTGCTGAGCAGGGAGCCCAATGCAGGGCTTGAACCCAGAACCCCGGGATCATGACCTGAGCTGAAAGCATACACTTAACTGACTGATGCACCCAGGTGCCCCAGGAATCACATTTGTGTGTAGCACATGAAAATTTCAACCAGAATCCAGAAAATAATATAATAAAAACCCAAACATGCCACTGGTCTTTCCTCTTAATGAACACACTTTACAAATGACTTTGATATACCATAATTCAATGAATACATGAAGTTCCTGAGAAAGAACTATTTTTCACAGGAATAAATGTATGCTTTAGTATTTGCTTTATCATCCTTAAAGCCAAGTTTGATTCTAAGGCCTCTTTTTATGCATAGGACCTGGAGACATGTATTTTATTATCATTTTTTTTTGCAAGTCACTATGGTAGGCATGGTGGACACAAGCTGTGTAACAACAGGATCCTAATGTGTAGAAAAATCCCATGATCTGCTATAACCACCATTATGGTGAAGTTTTCATTCTTAGGAAGAGCAATTAAGGTAGTGATATACAAAGGAATAAAATCCACAAACGTGAAGCATAGTAAAGAGAGTCAATTATCATATAGTTTTTCTTATTCGTGGAGCACAAGGAATAACATGGAGGACAGGGGGAAATGGAGAGGAGAAGGCAGTTGGGGGAAAATGGAGGGGGAGATGAACCATGATAGTCTATGGACTCTGAAAAACAATCTGAGGGTTTTGGAGGGGTGGGGAGTGAAAGGTTGGATGAGCCTGGTGGTGAGTATTATGGAGGGCACGTATTGCATGGAGCACTGTGTGTGGTGCATAAAGAATTAATTCTGGAGCACTGAAAAGATATTATAGTATCTTTACTATAATAGTGGTCTCAGAATTTTCTCTGTTATAAACTTGCATAAATAGTTGTGGTGTCCCCTAAAAGAAAAAATAGTCACTATGATGTTTTATTTGAGAAGCAATTTTTTAAATTTTTTTCAGTGTTCCAAAATTCATTGGTTATGCACCACACCCAGTGCTACATGCAAAAGAAATTATTCTTAACATATATATGCAATCCCTTGAATAAGACAGAATGTGCAAATATTTCATATCCAAGGTTAGGAATGACATTGAGAAAGTAGGAAAATGACAAAGGGAAAATCTCTTGGATATCAGAATTATCACAGATCTTAATAGAATGAGTTACATAAATTATGCAGAGATGTAAAAAAAAGTAGATATTACAGGAAAAAAATATAGAAGATATATGTTCCACTTTCACAATCTGATTAAGGGATCTCAACATTTGGCTCAGGCTTTGGGCCCTGCAATCATGGGTGCTTCTTCAGCTCCAGGAAAGTTGTCCATTTTAGGGCCACCATCCCGTAGAATCTCACCAGAGAGCACTTTATGTCTTTGTTCCTCAGGCTGTAGATGAAGGGGTTCAGCATGGGTGTGAACACAGTGTACATCACTGAGGCTACTGCACTAGAATGGGAGTTCTGGGTAGCTACAGAAGTAAAGTACACTCCTAAGCACGTAAAATAAAATAAGGAGACAACTGAGAGGTGAGATGCACAGGTGGAAAATGCTTTATACTTGCTCTGAGCTGTTGATATTTCAGATATAGAGGAAACTATCTTAGAGTAAGAGTAAAGGATCCCAATGAAGGAACCAACAGCCAACAACAAAGCTGCAAAGTATATCACCATGTTATTGAGAAATGTGTCAGAACATGCAAGTTGGATCATCTGATTGAGTTCACAGAAAAAGTGGGGGATTTCCACCTCTGTGCAGAAGGACAGCCGCAACACCATGGAAGTGTGTAGTAAGGAATGAAAGACACTCAGGATCCAGCATACCAGAACCAGAAGTCCACAAAGGCAGGGGCTCATGATGACTGTGTAGCGCAGTGGGTGACAGATGGCCACAAAGCGGTCATAAGCCATCACAGTCAGGAGAAAGATATCTAATCCTGTAAAGAGCATGAAAAAATACATCTGTGTGATGCATCCTGCATAGGTAATGACTTTGCTCTGAGTCTGGATGTTCCACAGCATCTTTGGGATTGTGGTAGTGGTAAAGCAGATGTCTGCAAAGGACAGGTTGGCAAGGAAGAAGTACATAGGGGTGTGGAGGTGGGAGTCAGAGCTGACAGCCAGGATGAGGAGCATTTTTCCCACCACAGTGATCAGGTACATGGAGAGGAAAAGCCCGAATATGAGGGGCTGCAGTTCTGGTTTCTCTGAAAATCCCAGAAGCTGGAACTCTGAAATTCCTGTATTGTTTCCTGGGTCCATGTGTTGCAGTTGATTACCAGCACAGGGGAAAATAACAGAACTAATTTTCACACAAATAGTCCTTCCTCACATTGTGGAAATGAAACAATTTATACTTCCAGTGAAGAAACTAATTGCAATAATTTTTTTAATTTTTTTAAGACTTTATCTATTCGCTTGACAGATAGAGATCACAGTAGGCAGAGAGGCAGGCAGAGAGAGAGAGAGGAGGAAGCAGGCTCCCCGTGGAGCAGAGAGCCCGATGAGGGGCTAGATCCCAGAACCCTGAGATCATGACCTAGAGCCGAAGGCAGAGGCCCAACCCACTGAGCCACCCAGGTGCCCCACTAATTGCAATATTTTGTGAATGGATTTGAGCCCCTTAAGAGCATCCCTAGTTCTCTCTGATTAGTAATTTTCTTCATAACATCAGATGTTTCCCCCAAAAGTCAGGTATTTTACCATTTTAGGAAGAAAATATTTCATGCATTGGGGGACTATATAGCGCATTGATCATGTTTTGGAAACTCTAGTAATAAAGCAGGGTGTTGAAAAGAAAATGTCCCTACAATTCAATTATGGTAATAGGTTAGTTGCATATATAAGGATTAAATAATCATGAGGTGGGAGAGATGATATGAACAGAACAGAAGCTGATTAAGGGAGAGAATGTGTTAGGTGTTATATTGAGTATTCAGTCAAGGTTAGCTAAGAAGGTGACCTTTGAACAAAGACCTATGGAAGAGAGGGTGGAAGAAGGGAGGTCTTCCTCGTAGAGGGGAAAGCTGGGGAAAAGGTCTTGAGGCAATGCTTCCATCAGAAAATCAAAGTTCAGAAAGAAGCCAGTGTGCTAAGGGAAATGGACAAGAAGAGAGTGATGAGAGGTAGTGGCAGTGAATTTCACAGAATCATGTGGCCTCACAGTTGCTTGAAGTTCAAGACACAGAGAATTCCTTGTCCCCACTATGTACCTCTTGCACTTTATAATGGTTGCAATAGGGTTCTGTCAGTTGACTATCCTTCCTTAGTATCACATGGTGATTGAGTTTGGCCTGTGTATTATAAAGTTCACATTGAAATAGAGGACCCTGTGTATCACTTCTCTGAGGACTCCTCTCACTCATTAAGATGCCCACATGCACGTGCACACACATACACAGACACACACACAGTGTCACAAACATGCAACACAGCACACCATGTCCTATTGGTGTGTATTACTTCTACGTCTTTCTCACCTCTTCCCCACCCACTCTAACACACTGTTTAGGAATATCATATTACCTTTCCCATAAAGAATGTAAAACTAGCACCCAGAAATTCCTATTTGTAGCTTCACAGGGACAAATCATCTTGGGGTTCCATTTTGTAATGGCCACTTTCTGACCTGTGTATAAAGAAACATAAAAAAAAAGTGTTCAACATTTAGGGCCTTTTCTGGTTCCATACACATTTTAGATTATTTGTTCCAGCTCTGTGAAAAATGCTGGTGGTATTTTGATAAGGATTGCTTTGAATGTGTAGATTGCTTTGGGTAGCATAGACATTATAATAATATTTGTTCTTCCAATCCATGAGCATGGAATGTTTTCCATTTCTTTGTGCCTTCCTTAATTTCTTTCAAAAGTATTCTACAATTTTCAAACTAAGATATTTTACCTCTTTGGTTAGGTTTCTTCCTCGATATCTTATGGTTTTTTGATACAATTGTAAACAGCTAAGAGACACATGAAAAATGTGTGGTTACATCACTCATCATCAGGCAAATACAAATCAAAATCACAATGAGATACCACCTCACACCAGTCAGAATGGCTTAAATTAACAATTGGGGAAACAGTTGCTGGCAAAGATGTGGAGAAAGGGGAACCCTCATACGCTGTTGGTGGGAATGCAAACTGGTGCAGCCACTCTGGAAAACAGTATGGATGAAGGTTCTTCAAAAAGTTCAAAAAAGAGCGACCTTACCATGCTACAATTGCACTGCTTGGCATTTATCCAACAGGTACAAACATAGTGATTTAATGGGGCACATGCACCTCAGTGTTTATAGCAGCAATGTCCACAATAGACAAAAAATGGAAAGAGAATGACCATCCACAGATGAGTGGATAAAGAAGATGTGGTATATATACACAATGTAGTATTACTCAGCTGTTAAGGATCAAATCTTGCCATTTGCAAAGATGTGGATGGAGCTAGCATTTATTATGCTAAGCAAAATAAATCAGAGAAAGACAAATACCATACGATTTCATTTATATGTAAGAACTTAAGAAATAAAATGGATGAACATAGGGGAAAGGAATGAAAAATAAGAGAAGGTAAAAACAAAGAAGGAGGGAAACCATAAGAGACTTGATTATAGGACAGAAACTGAGGGTTGCAGGAAGGGAGTAGGTAAGGGGATGAGGTGACTGGGAGATGGTCGTTAAGGAGGGTACTTGATGGAATGAGCCCTGGGTGTTATACGCAACTGCTGAATCACTAAATTCTAACTCTGACACTAATAATACACAATATGTTCATTAAATTAAGTTGAATCTAAATTAGAAATTACAAAAATAACATTAGAAAAAAAAAATTCTGTTCAATAGACAGAGAGATAGAGACCAATAGACAGAGGGAGGGAGAAATTAGATGGACATAAAGAATTAAATGATCTAATAAGCTCAGTTGTCCTGAGAGACTGCAAGGAAGGAAAGCTTCTTTGGTGCTCATGTCATCCCCGTCTGGTTACAACCCATTTATACCCAGCAAAAATAATGAGAGCTAAATTTAATTTGTCCACAACACAAAGTAGTGACTTCTTTATGGTGTGAAACACCTTACAGAGTGACTGTCACAAGAGAAAAATGAGTAAAAAGAATAAAACAAAATTTCACAAAATTTGGGCATTTTTATTATCAGATAGCAGACAGCAAAAGACTTGTTTTCCTGTGCCTATTCAAATATAAGTTAGATTGCCAAGGACTTAGGACAGAATTTGAAAAGTCTTTTAACATGGAGAGAAGCAGTATCTAAAATTTTAGTTTCATCTCCCAGAAACAGATGAAAGAATGCTTATGGAAGGTAAAGGTGATTCATGGTCAAATTTAATAAGAATAATTCCTTTCAAATGATGGCATTTCTATTTCAGAAATAGAGCCAATAATAAAAGGAAAAAGGAACAATAAGGTATATGGAGATGTGAACACAAGTTGGATAAAGAGGGCAATTTGTGAACAATAAATATGCAGAAGGACATTCATTTTTAGTCTTTGGAAAAAAAGTATGAACAAGTGAAGAATATTATGGTAATATCAATGGTTCCAGCAAAACAAACAAACAAAAAGTAGAAAATCAGTATAGGGAATATATTATGACTAACTCAGAGACTTAAAACTCAAAATTTAAACACTCACACATTCTGCACAAATACATCTACACATACTTAAAAAAGAAAAAATGGCAAGTAGTCGAATTGGTGAAATAAATAGCAATACTTTGCTTGAAAGAATGCAGTAAAAAAAAATAAAAGAATGCAATTTAAAAAAAAAAACAGAAAAAACAAAACCTCCCACAGACAATTTTTAACAGAGAAAGTGTGTGACTAGCTAACCCAGCACATACTGTGGCTCACAGGTAATGAGGTAATTGTAAAGGAAGCTCATTAGCATACACTTTTTCACATAATCCTTGTAAAAAATTTCATTTGAATACTCAAGAAAGGAGGTCTGTGATACGTATGTTTTATGGGTGGCTCTTGCATAGACATATCTGTGAGAATTCTTTCATCTGGACTTTTCTTCTCAATATAGAAATGTAGTCTAATATGTCCCATCTTAAACATGAAAAAACGTATCCTCACTTCACTGTATACTCACTTCACTGTATATCCTTCCACATCTAATACTTGACTTTTCTACTCTGGTTAATTGCAAAGATCCTTGGTATCATGTTTTACTTTTATGCTTCCTATCCCTCACAGAATTGGGTTTCCCTTATTATTATTATCTGCAAACCTTAAACCTTGCATTTTGGAGTTCCATGTTCACTTCTATTTTTAACATCATAAGTATATACATGAATCAACCAGTAAATTTCTTAATCAATCCAGCAAATAACCACAGCAAACTCTCAGATCTGGGTTGGGCTTGACTGGCCTTCAGATGACCTCAGGTAAATGCCCTTGACTCACTTTCTTATCTTCTCCTGCCCTGTTGCTAATAGGCAGTAAAACTCATCTTGATAGGGTTTCAGAGAAGAAGGTCTCTACATGAAAATCAATAATACCTGTCTGGTTGATAGATGATGGAGGATGAAGCTCTGTCCCCAGACAAGAAAGCAGGAATGAATCAGTCTTCAGTGCCCCACCCACACTTAGGACTGCACAAGAAAAGACCAGGTCTTGTCCTTTACAAAGTTGCCCATGCTGAGAGACTGCAGCAGAGCACATATTTACAGTTACTTTGGTCTGCTCATAAGGCACATTTCCCTCTGGTTCCTCCTACCTGTAGGCACATGATTTCCCTGCAGGACACTAGTGTGGACAGAAAGGAAAGTTTTCCTCTTGGGATTTCTGTTCATGGGAGACCAGATGTTAAGCCAGGTAGTCAGTTTTTCTTACTCTTTTTCTATGACTTCTTCTGCTTTTCAGAGATCTAAACTCCCAGTGCCTTATCCCACCCCTGAGTGAACATTTTCTCCTGTTTAAGACTGATAAATTGATCCTGACTAGATCCCTTTTGTCCTTCAAAGCATTGACTTGGGGTGGATGATATCCCTGACATCTCTAGCAAGTTACTTTTCCCTTTTTATTTGTTTTTTTTTAATTTAACTTAATTTTTCCAGTGTTCCAAGATTCATCATTTATGCACCCACCCACTGCTCCATGCAATATGTGCCCTCCTTAATACCTACCACCAGGCTCACATAACCCCCCATGCCTCTCCCCTCCAAAACCTTCAGTTTGTTTCTCAGAGTCCACAGTCTCTCATGGTTCATCTCTCCCTCCAATTTCCCCCAAACCCCTTCTCCTC